CCCCATCCCTCTTTCCTGGATCTCTGTTCTGTTCTCTCATATGGTTTCTGCTTCTTTGTCTTCCCATTTTGGTGCCTTTCTTTGTCTGTTTCTATGTACTAAGCAATGCTACTAAGTCTCCCAGTCTTATTAGTGTGGATTTGTGTGGTAGGTGTTCAGTGGCACAGACTGGAGAGGGGTTCAAACGAAGGCCAAATTTAGTCCCAGCCTGTGCCCCTCTGGGGCCACCTGTTAAGATTCAGCCAGTAATCCACAGATGCTTTGCTTATCGTTGCCTCAAAAGGCCACACCAGAAACCAAGGCCAGCTGCCTCCAGTGTGAGTCTCAATAAGGAGCATCTGACTCACTGAGGATATACCTGGATGTGGCTTGGGTGGGGCTGTGAGTTGGGGGAGGCGAGGTTTCAAGGAATCCTCTGGGCGGAGCGACCTCTGTTATCCAGTTTGATGAGGTCACAGCTATGGCAGTGCTTTGTCCTTGCACTGCTCCTTGTTTCCATCACAACTTTGGTTTGGTCGATAGAGGGATGAACAGAGCCTCTGTCATGTACGCCACTTTTTTCTCTTCCTCCAAATTTCCACTTCTTAAAAGGTCATACTAGATTAGGACCCACCCTAATGACCTCATTTTAACGTAAATATTATTCTTTAAAAATCTTATCTTAAAATAAGGTCACGGTCTGAGGTAATTTTCTTGAGGTTATGGCTTCACAATTACAAGTGTTAGGGTGTACAGCAAATAGGCCTTTCACATTTTTAATGCCCTTCCACATTTTTAATTTTAACTGTTTTATGAGGCATTATTTACACAGTAAAATTCTCCCATTTGAAGTTTAAAGTTTTATGAGTTTTGGAAAATGTGTACAGTTGTGGAATCACCACCACACTCAAGATAAAAAACATTTCCAACACCCCCACAAAACGCTCTAGGGCTTACAGTCAAGGCCTTCATCCCACCCCTGATCCCAGACAACCAGTATCAGCTGTCACCACAGATTTATCTTTTCTAGAATTTCAAATAAATGGAATCATAAAGTATGTACTTTATGTCTTGCTTCTTTCACTTGGCATGATGTTTCTGAGATTCATCCATGTTGTTGCATAATTCCTCTATAGGGTTGAGTAGGAGACCATACCACATGTTGTTTATCTATTCTCTTATTCCAATTTAGATATGTTCTGAATATGTCTTTATATTGTAAATATATTCTACAAATATTTTGTCTTTATCTTGACTTTTCTTTTTCTTAAAAATATGTTTCAAAGAGTTAAAGTTTTAAATCTTATTTTGGAGGATTTACGGGAAACATTGTGGAGTAAGAGATGTCCCCAGATCTCTCTTTGAAACAACAATAAGCTGAACATCTAAAACTCAACAAAAAACACCCAAACTTCATATCAGCATTCTGAGCATGGGATCTGCGCATAAGAGCTACCAAGGTCAGAACCCTGGGTGTCGGGCGGTGGACTGGGAGAAATAAAGAAGCTGCCTCTTGCAGCCACCAGAGCTCCCTGCAGGAGGAGGGGGAGGAGGGTGAAGGTACGGGAACTTCCCTGAACGGCCCAGCCTGGGACTGCTACGAGCTCCCCACGCTGGGTGGAAGGGCCCAGTCATCAGGGCAGAAGACAGAGAAGCAGGACGGGACTGCAGAGAAACAACAGTTGATTTTTACTAGCCCTGGCTGCAAAACCGAGGCTGAGCCACAGCCCCCAACTCCCAACCCAGAGGGGCCCTCCTCGCATACCCTTCAAGACCGATCACTGTGGAGCCCCAGGGGAATCTGAGCAAATGCTGCCTAGACTGTCATTTACACTGACAGGGACTGAAACAGGGTAGTGAGTGTGATTAAATATCTACAAGAAAAATTTTTAAAAAAGGCATTTTAAGGCTTAGATGCCACCTACTGGAAACCAAAAGAAAAGCGCCTTCTTTGCAACAAGCTAAAGAGATCTTTATATAATAAACTTTCTTTCTGGAAAAACAGCAGAATATACTTCTATTAATGGCCTGGCGGAGAAATAGTCCATTAAACACCAAGAACAACCCACCTACTGGAAAAGAAAAGCGCCTTCTTTGCAACAAGCTAAAGAGATCTTTATATAATAAACTTTCTTTCTGGAAAAACAGCAGAATATACTTCTATTATATTAAAGGTGGAGAAATAGTCCATTAAACACCATGAACAACCAAGGTGACAAGGCATATCAGAAAGAAAGAGAAAAATTTCCAAAAAATAAGCTTATGGACATAGAAATATGCAACTTAAATGACAGCGACTTCAGGATGGTACTTCTGAAAATACTCAGTGAGTTCTGAAACAAGTCATATTAACAATTTCAGGAATTGAAAAAACAACTAGATGAGCAGAGCAAATAGATTGAAACCCTCAAAAAGAAGAGAATAGATTTTCTGTAGATGAAAACAACAACAACAATAAGAAAAACAAAACACTGCAAGAGTTGAAAAATGAAATAGCAAGTTTGGGAAATAGAGTCGACCAAATGGAGGAAAGGATCAGTGATATCGAAGACAGAAGTCTAGAAATAAATCAGAAGGGAGAAAC